ACACACACACACACACACACACACACACACACACACACAAAACCAAGCTCAACACATGAACACACATTGATGGGTCACCTAATAGTAAGAAATATAATAATTAAGAATTGCATCAGCGCACAGATCCTGTTTCTGGGCTTAACTACAGGTTTGCAGGCTCTGACAGACACAACAAACGAAATGACATCTCAGCGCTTCCTTACCATCTCATGTAGCAAAACGTTGCCATCTTTGGTCAGCTTTATGTCTCCTGCACCAGACACAAGCCTGTAGGTTCAAAGCAAAACGAGAGTTTACAAACTTCGCAGAACCTCCTGCCAGTCTTTACCGGTAGCTTTAAACGTGACATTTTCCTCCAATCATGTCCAGAAACCATAAGCGTGGGTTCGCTGCTTGAGCGGATATAAATTTTGGCTTACATACGGCTGAATTTATATTAAAAGGCTTTGTAATTAACAGTAGCTACCAATCTTATTTATGTATTTTTCAATTCAAACAGTTTGTATTAATAACAGGCTGGCATCAACTTTACATGAATCAACGCCCCTCAGTTTTAGCCTTAGCTTCACCTGCTAACCGGTTGATGCTAACGTTAGCTTAGTGGCGTCTGAGCGGATAATGACGATGACTGAGCAGGCAACAAGAAGTCCGATAACTGGTTAACAAATGACCCAAGAAGAATTAAATGGCACTTTGAGTTAATATCTTTTTGAGACATATAATGGTTTCATATAGAGGTTTGTGACAAAACCAATGCATGTGTAGATTACTGGAAAGTAGCTAATGCTAGCTACCTAGCAGTGAGTTAGCTTTGTGCGCGTGCTGCACAAAGAATCCCGGTAGCACTCACATTTTCATGGTCCCTTTCGGCCCCAAGTTGCTTCTCAGTACGTCTTGGAGCCCACGGGCGGCACTGATGTTAACAGCCAAGGCAGCCTGAGCTCTGGCTACCTCCGCCTTGGGGTTTAACGCTTTTACGGCAGCCATAGCTAAGCAGCGAAACCAGCGGAGTAAAATAAAAAGTCTCGCTGGCAGAGTTAGCACTGCTCAGGCTCGCGCTCAGCACTAGGAAGGAGAGGTTGCTTCCAGAAAGCTCCAACACGTGTTCATCGTGCTGCCTTCAAATAAAGAAACGAGGCTGGGATATTTTGCTTTCATAATGCAGTTTGTAAAGGATCCTGTTCAATACCCACAAACGACAGTTTTTTTTTTAAATACATGTCCAGTCAATTCTTCTCTACACACATTTAAAACAGTAATCACGATAATATAATAACTTGGCTCAATATTTTTGTGTTCCAAGTAACTTTCACTGCTTCTTAAGTCTTAAGCTTAAGAAGCTGTAATGAACGTTATGGTTCATAAAGGCACCATGAACAATTGATGCTCTTAAGTTGATTGTGGACATTTACAATGAGCAAAATAATACTTAGAATGCTTTAAAAAATATATAAAAATAATAAAAAATAAAATAAATAAAAATAAATAAAAATAAATAAATTATATATATATATATATATATATATATATATATATATATACATACACACACCACACGAAAAACAAACAAAACTCATGACAATTTTTTTTGCTTCTCTAAATCAGAAATTTCATTTAATATGTACAACTAAAGTTCTTACAGCACTGCATTTTATCACACTAACACAACTCCTCTCCCATCCATTTTTTTGTCAACAATTATAAAAACTTCACTCAATAAAAAAAACTGACCACAACACCGGCTTGCTTATAAGCCTACTGTTATTCTACACTCTGAGCTTTCTTGATAAAGCAGTAATACTAATCTCAATGAAAGCAAGCTGTCACCCAGCTGACAAAGATAGATAAATCTAAATCAGTACAGTAGTTTATTCTGTAAATAATGAGGAAATCTGCTCAACCAAACACATTTCTGAATCTTTTTAACCATCTTTCTAATTTATTTCAAATCTAGAAGTGCCATGATGAAATGTGTCAAGAACAAAATAGAGGGATGTGGTAGGTTCACACTTAATGTATCTAGCTGAAAAAGGATTAAAAAATATGTCAACAATTATTTCTCAAACTGTGTGGTATATTTGTTACTTCATCTTATGTGAATCCTCATGAAATTTTATTGTCATAAACACCGTGATCCACACAAATTACTTCAATGCTAATCCCAGCTACTCATCTCAAATCAGATGATTGGATGGAAGCTTTGTAAACAACACTTTTTTTTACATAAAGAAAAATGTGGTAAATTAAATGATCATTACCTATATCATTTAAACCTATCAGCTTGATATTACCTGTTAATTATGAGCTTAGTATAATATAGCTTATGCTGTATAATTATGATAAAAGTAGTTATATGTTTATTTCATTGCCTTTTAATTTTATGTGGAGAAAAAAAACATTAAAGAGGAGAACGTCGAATAAGTAACATGTCAATTTTAAAACATAAGTATTCTGACCTAATTTAAAAAAAAAAATGCATAAAAGAGGAACAACAAAACAAAAACATGTTCAGGTTATGTTGATATTCCTGGCTGTGCACTTTCAGGTAGTTAATAACATCTTCAGAGTTGCTGAAATATTTCCCTGCAGTTTGCCGTTACTTCAAGGGCGAAGTTTTCATGGGGATCATTATCCTGGATTCCATGTGCTGAATAAGTGGGACTGTGGAAGAAAAACATTTTTTTTTAGCTTTCTAGTAGCTGCACCAGATTTGAATGTCCAAACTCAAACTGACCTGTGTAATAAACAACCTCATCCCAACCTTCACGCTGCCAAGCTGCATTTCTAATGACTTCTCTGGACTGAAGGTCTTTGTAAGCTGGGAGAAAATACATGGGTTAGCTTTATGTAAGATTTCACATCAATAATTGAGTTTTTAGCTTTTCAGAGAAAATAATTGTTGCTAAATAAATCTCTCCAAGTCACAAATGTTTGGAAGGAAACACGTTGAGAAAACAATCTGAAACATGCCTCATAGAAAGAAGACAACAAATTTTACTATTACCTGCAACCAGGAGCTGTGTTTGTAAATGTCGTAGGATTATAAATTATCCAACAGATTATGAGCACAGTTCATTAGCTTAGAAGCTTCTGCTCACCCCATAAATGGTGAACTTGATACAGATCTCCGATCTGTGAGAAAAAGCCTCCCACCGCCTCGTGGTTCTGCTGGCGTATCTCAATAGCCCGAGCCCTGGAGACCATCAAAAACGTTAGCACTAATTTATCCATTTAAAGCTCTAATTAGAAAACCATTCATCAACATCCCATAATTTATTTCAGGATTTATCAGTTTCTTGTTGCTGCTGTTTAAGAACTGGTGAAGTTCCTTCCAGAGGTTTTACTACAGCTGCAATTCTGAAAGGTGCATATCTAGATCACAAATAGTTTAATCATCATCATAAAAAATAATAAAAAAAACTTGAGATTTATTCATGTGACTAATTTGGTCATGCTTAGAGTCATGCATCATTAGCGAGGCCACGAAGTACCGTAGACTCATTCATCTGCAACAATCTGGAAAACTAATAAAACAACAACGAGAACATTTTAAATAGTAAATAATATTTATTTTACAAGACTGAACTAAGAATTTTTTTGGCAGTTTTGGTAAAAATCATTAGCATTCTAGTTCATCTTTTGAAATCCCAAACATCTAATCAACAATGTTTTTTAATATATTTATGCAATAGAGCCATCATTATTAGACAAAAAAGGTTCCTGACAATATCAATAGCACTTAAGGATGTTTTATTCAAAAGTTCTATTTTATTATATCTTATTTAGTTCTAAGTATTAGATGCAGAATACATTTAGTTTAATTATCTTTTTAATTTGCTTATTAAAACAATTGGTTTTAAGCACTAACTTCAGTATTTTCTTAATGTAATGCTCATTATTACAGCGTTTGAACACTAAATAATACATTTTTATTCTGACCAGAACTCAAATACTCTCTGATGACTCTTGAATGGTTATAATGCAACAAGCAACAGAAGAAGCCCACTTCTTACCAGTAGTTTCCCCACTCGATCATTGTTCCTGGCTGAAATTAGAGCAAGAAGACAACAACAATTGACAGCAGCCGTTTTAACTGCTTAATAAGCAAAAAGACCTATAGACAGGAATAGGCTGTTTAATATTCTCCTAGGAGGCAATTACCCTGAGCTGGTATGAACGAAGCTCGTAGATGTTGGGTCCTTGGCGTGGGACGGGTTCGGTCCAGAAGCTGAACTCCAGGAGCAGCTGGTTCCTACGAGACAGCAGCATCTTCCCCCTCTCTGTGCGGTACTCCATAAACTCCTGCAGGAGGAACAAATCACATCACTGAGTGACTCTGGAGCTGCACAACTCATTTACACAAAAAAAAAATCAAAACGGTGGTGAGTGAGATCCAAATAACAAAGTTTATAATATATAATGGTTAGAAATAAACATACTTTACAGAAGCCTCACATTTGTATTTAAACATTTCCTTTTTTATTGATCTTATGCAATATTCAAATTTCTGAGACAGAGTTTTGGATTTTCATTACCTGTAAGCCAAAATAATCAAAATTACAAAAGGTTTTGAATTTAATATTTCACTCTGTGTAATGGCTCTATATTATTTTTCACTTTCTGAAACGACTGCCTATTTAATTTTATTTTTTCACGATATTCTAATTTTCTGAGCCGCACCCGTTTAGGATTAAATCAAACCTGGAAAGATTGGAAGCCAGTTCTTATAAAAATATTATGTTTAAGTTTTTCTCTCCAAATATAGAAGTATTCAACTAAATGTTCACGTAGTTTTCAAAATAAAAAAAACAACAACATTATCATAAATATAACTGTTTCAAACACAAAAACTTCCCATTTTTCATAAAAAAAACCTCTGAAATTAAATAAAGGTTTGCATTTATTAAAACTTTTCTTCTACTTTGGAAGCACAAACAAATAAGACAGAACTGATCCTATTATAATACTTACCTAATCTACAGCAACTTAATCCCTGTAAATGCGTTTTAAAGATAGCATCACACCAGACAGGTTGGACACCACAGATAAACATGGATTAAAAACGGGTCTGTGGGCCGAATTTGGGGGTGAGCTGCTGATTGCAGGTCAAAAGGTCACCAAGAGCCAGAGAGCTGAACTAGTGGGAGCCCCTGTTACCTTATTCTGCCTGAGTTTGTTCATGACTTCGGTGAGAGCTGGGTATCCTCCCCGATATCTCCACAGGTGAACTAGAATAGAAGGAGCAGAAGAGCCAGAAATAATGCAGCTCCTGAACACGTGTCGTGTTTTTTTTTTGGGCCAGATAAAATCTCTTCTTAAATCTCATAATTTTAGAAGGAAAAAAAAAAAAAAAATCACCTACAGCTTTACACATTTAGTTATTTAGTGAAATGACAAAAAAGCTCTTTCCACCATGCAGAACAGACTTTTGGTATTTCATCTAAAAATTAGCATTTAAATAAAACCCACTACAATGTAAAAGTTTTAAACTATCTGTCCAACATAATGCAGAAAAATAAATAACATTTTAAATTTCAAGTTCAAAACCAATTACAAAAACTGCTTTTATAAGCCATTTAAATTAAATGTGAACAAAAATACCAGTCATTGCTTTTAAGAAAGTATAGGGCACATTTTAGTGTTTCGATGTGCACGTTTAACTTCTGTTGTATTTACGGATGCTGCCCACCCTACATTGACGTAACTTTGGAGTCAGATGGCACCACAGCACAATACGTACTACAGCCAGGATAAATGCAATCCCACGTTGTTTTAAACTCAGATGCAACCACTGCAGGTCTGTCTCACTGACGAGGAAAGAAACTACAAAGATGTTAGAAGGAAAAAAAAAGTCCTCTCTGACTTACTTCAATCAACAAGACGAGCAGTTTGAAAATACTTCTGTCTGCTTCATCCATTGTTTATATTGGACAGGAGTCTAGAATGCAACAATGCAGAACTTCTAAACAATTGTTTAATCCTAAAATGTGTTTTATCAAGCAAATTAAATCATTTTCTTTCTCCAGCTGCAGCAGCACGCTCAGAGAACGGGTATCAAGCATAGCAAGGCTATTAAAAAAATACAGTTTCAAGTGACTGATGGTATTACAAATACATTTAAAAACAACAACAAATATTAACTGCATTAACTCCTGTCCTGTGTTTTCTATACCTCAAACTGGAGTTGAAATGATGCACAAATCATATTTTATTCAGGCTTATGGGAATTTATGAACTTGACTCAGGACATATGTTGTGTTCAGCGCAGAGGAACTTAGTTGACAAATGTGAGAATCTCGAAAAGAAACAACAATGTCAGAAAAGGACACGTTAACCTAGAATTGTAGTCTTTTCAGTTGTACTAAACTGTTCCCCAATGTTTCCATTGGCCTGAGAGTAAAACTTTAAAAAGGCTAACTTTCACAGTTAACATGTCAAAGCCTAAACATTAACGATGTAAAACGAACATGTAAAAAATTCCTCAGTTGTGATACCTACTTTAATAAAGCACCATGTTATTGTTCTTTTTAACTTGAATATTTGTCAGCGAGCTCTTAAATTATATAGAACCTTTACTTTTGTTTTTTTGACCCAGTGGGCTGGTTATCACGCAGCAATGCTATTAATGTGCATCAACTACTTATGTTAAAGTTGAACTTTTTAAACTTTCTAACATGCTGCATCATCTTACCTGCCTGATCCTGCTCTCCGTACCAGGTGTTCCAGGTGCCCACAAGCTCACATGAGTATTCAGGACTGGCGTGAATGGATGGCAACACGGACTCACTGGAAACACGTGAACACAAGTGTGTAAAAATGCACTAAAACGGATCCATCTGACAGATTCATAAAAGATTAATTTCTTACCAGAGTTTATTATAAGCATCAAGGCACTCTGGTTTCACATTGTGAACTGTGGAAGAAAAAATAAATAAAACCGATAAGACAGCTGTTCAAGAATTTTATGAGATTTCTGCCAATAAGGCTAATATTTTTCAGTTTGTCTCAACCACAGCAAGTCACAAACATTACATACACTGTATTTTGTACAGATTGTTGTCCTCTTTCTTGGCGAGCAGATGAGAGTGAGCGTCTTTTCTGGGGTCAACTTTTCTAACAAAAAGAGATTTGAGCCCTGAGAGGCTCCTGTGGAGAAATTTTGAAAAAGAAGTTGGATACAACCAGCATTCCTTCTGCTTCAATTAAAAATAAAAATAAAAACCTGACAAAGGAAATATTTTTCTATAAAGTTTGCCTTTTTGAAACGTAAAAGCCTTTTATGGATTTACTTCCTAAATATATTTTTTGCTGTACTGTGCTCTCCAGTTAGTCTTAATATACTGAAAATTTCAGTGTACATGTTATATTACTCATCAGTTTAAAAGTATGCCAGCGCAGGCAAAAAGAGGTCTCTTATGTAGAATAAAATGGTGACATAAAATCCACACTTAAAAGGTTACAACTACGTACCTGACTATAATAAGGATTAAGAATATATACATATATATATCCTTAACTTTGCTGTATGTATTTTATATTCTTTATGTAATTTATTCCTGTTGATCTTTGTTCTTTCTGTAAAGTGTCCTTGGGTGTCCTGAAAGGCTCTTTTTAAATAAAGTGATTATTATTATTATTATAACTGAAATGTGCAGTACAAAAAATGCCACTTTAAGACCTAATAGTGATGCATAAAACAAGAGTACACACAATGCATGAAGTAGTTTGTATTTATTTAGACATTTGCAGTGCACAACTATTAATCCCTATAGAAAATGTTTATACTGGCCACAAAAAAGCCTTTCACATGGTAAAATTTGTGCATTAGAGTATACATGAAGTTTCATAGAAGCTCATAGTTTCAAGGAATATAAAATACTAATAACAAGACCTCTTTAAATACTATTACTATTTGATGAAGTTGTCTGTAAGACGAAAACAAACTCAATCAAGGTGTACTATTTTTTGTTGTTGACTATACTTTGATTTTAAGTGTGTATATATCACACAACAAATCAAAACAAGTCTGAGTTTTGACCTTGACGTTAAATCAGTTTGAAACACACACAAACTGAAGACTTGGGTCTTAACTTGGCAACATAATATTTGCAAGAATATTCAGTGGGTCACACAAAAACACAAACGGTAGCTTCGAGTTTCGCCACTTATTTTTTTTCTCGGAACAAAAATATTTAGCCGAAAGTTAGCGTGAGCTAGCCGTGCTAATGCTAATGCTGCGCGGCGTTCAACGTCAACTGTAGCGTTAGCTTAGCCACCTAGCATCCCAAACTTTGTCATCGTCATGAAACTAAACACTTTTAGCACCACTTGTAACTCAACAGTGACAAAAACAAACATTTGTCAAACTCTAACCTGACGGTTCGGGTCGCCGGTCCGTTCGCAGGAAGTCCGGTTTTCGTCCTGTGAAGGCTTCTGGCCACTGTTTGAAGGACTCTGCTCGCCATGTTTTCCCTGAAGGCAGCGGAGGATTCGGTGTTTGCTGCAGCAACAAACCGGACTGATCACAGAACAGCTGAGCCCAAAACTCGGTGAACACAATGCAGCCCAGACTGATTACAAAACGGCTGACCCAAAAACGACCTGCTGATAACAGGATCCACGAGTTTTACATCTAGTGACACCATTTTTAGCCCCACACACATAATGTCCACTTTTCTTCATGCATGCATTAATTTAATAATGCACTTTAATCTTCTACTCAGTTTAATAGTAAATGTTACTAGATTTGTAGCCACCTCAAATTATATATCATATATTCTGCAGTCAAATTTAAACATGACTTTTGACATGACAATCATTGTTTTTTGTGTTTTAAAATAACAGGGCAGCATGTGTATGTTTGAATTTGTTCACATTTTTCTTCGTAAAAAATAAATCACATTAGTAAAGAACATTGCAGCCGTTCCCAGACACAAATTTAAAAACTTTTATTCTTTTTAACCCCTGAAAAAAAAAAAAAAAAACATTACACACTGACATTAAAGGGAGATTTATTTTAGTCAAGTAGAGGGAGTTTGTGTCGAAGTGGATTCTGCTCCAGTGGAGACAGCAGAGATGTTGAGCTCCTGAAGTTTCTCCAACAATGTGGTCTCCTCTTCAAGCGGAATATCAGAGAGAGCCTCCACAAACTCTGTTCCTGCGACCCTCTTTCCTGTCAGTGGATCCACCACCCGACCCACTTTATACACAATTTCAACGAGTTCATGCTTTACGTGTTTGGATCTGGGCTCGGGCAGAGCCTTGAGGAGGACTACATCTCCCACAGTGCACTGTCGCAAAGCATCGTGAGCAAAGTAGGTCTTTCTCTTGTTGTAGTACTACAGAAAAGGGAAAAAAAAAACTATTAGATTTATGAAAATATGAACAATTCAGAAAATAAACTCAAATGTGTTCAAATTTATCTTGAAATAAATTCTGCTGTTGCTGCCAAAATTATTTAGCAAGATTCATGATTTTATTTACACTTGGCAACATTTATTAGAAAGATTATGTACCGATGATTATAACTTGAAAAACTGGTTTATGTTTTTAATTCATCCCACAATAAATGTATGAGATTATACAGCTGAGCAACTCAGTTGTGACTCGAGTTTGTTTAAAACAGAACAGATTGGAGCAAACGTTTGTGATCTATGATGTTGTAAATACTGTGTGTGGCATCATCCTTAACTATAATTTTTGCAAAAGAAATTGTGTAAAATTCACAGGATGAGATATAGCAATAAAAGTAATAATGGCAGCATGTGGTGTTTGTGGAAAACAATCAGAAGTATAAAAACAATCTCAAATCATATATATTCAAACTTTCACAGATTTACTTCTTATTTAGATTTACATTGATTCAGAAATAAAAACCTGTACTTACTTAAATTAAAAAAGAACTGCAATTACTTGATTTTTTTAATACTTTGTGTCATGTAAAAGCTTTCTATGAATCCATGCTCCCAATCTGTTCCTTCATAATATTAAATAATTCCTAATAACATTGCACTAAGCCACATCTGTGACACCTATATATACACCTATAGGTTTATTGTTGCTGCACTATGTGGCTGTATTATGCATGTCATTACGTTACCATCATAATTCAATTATTCTCAATGTTACTCACCTGTGCAATAACCTGTCACACAACCCCTGTGGTATATTAGTTATGCACAGTATATATCATGTGCATTTAACACAAAGTTTGTTTTCTCAGTCATCCAGGTATATAACAACAAAAAAGGTTGAATCATGTCATCTGGACTTCGTTTTTTTGTTAAAAAGAAACGTTTCGCCCCTCATCCAAGAGGCTTCGTCAGTCTGAGGCCTAGCCATCTGGTATTACCCAGAAGCCACCCTGACTCTTGTGTTTCAAGCCTGCCTCAGATACCCCTGAAGTCTGGCCTTTTCACTAATGGTTTCAAAAACACAAAGTTTCTTTTTAACAAAAAAACGAAGTCCAGATGACATGATTCAACCTTTTTTGTTGTTAT